AAAGACCAGAAAAACACCAGAAACTAGGACGGTACACCAATTAAACAGAGGTGGGGAACGTCCAGCCCATGGGCCAAAGAAGGCTGGTGACATCATTCAGACTGGGCCTGCCAAAGCAACCGCAGGTGGGACTCAAAATTCAATATATCTTTATCAGACTAATTTATAAGTTGCTAACTCTGTATGGCTCGCAAATGATCTACTAAATATCCAAATGACCCTTAGCAGAAGAAAAGGTTCCCCACCCCTGATTATTAAAATAATGCACCCATTATCGTGAGGTTGTTCCAACTCCTGACCAGGGGGCAGCTGGCTGACTGGGTCAGAGGCGCCATCAGTCACGTGTCCAAACAGGTGGCAAGTCACACGGCAGAGAGGAGGTCAAATGGGAAGGTCTCAAAACCTCCTTCTGGGCCATCCATTTTCGCCACCATCTAATATTTATTTTCCTTTTCACACCATAAGGAAGTTCCCATTTAACTACAGAGGCAGAAACGCCAGTGCTAAGGCATCAAAAACAGTTCCTCGGAGACTGTGTGTGATCTTGTCCCATCGCTGGGGCTTCCTCTCCTCTTGGGGGTCCCCACCTGCCCCAGACATTTTCCCCATCTTCCTTGTACCCTAGACCCCTGATCCAGCTGCTGCCTCCTTTCCCCACCAGCCTGGCGGCCCTCCCTCCCACCTGCCCTGGTAATTCCCATCATATATCTCTGTGACTGATGAATAGGAAGTTAATCAGAGTGCAGTCAGCTGTACCTTTGAATCAGGGGCTCATTTTGAGGTGTCTTAATTGAACCGTCTCCCTGGGAAAGATGAGCTGTAGATAACAATCAGGAAGGCTTGTGCAGAGGGTAAAGAGATGAGCCTTCTAAAACGACTGTACATCAAAGTCAGATGACAGGAACCTTAGGTTCACTAAAAATCACCCGTCAGCCGGTTATTCACTCAACAAATGTTTACCCTGGGCCCCCACACCACGTGGGGAGTTGGTGGGGATGTCCCTGCCCTTCGATCCCCTGGAACTCAGGTTTGTGGCTACCTTCTCGGCCTCTGTCTGGCAAATGCTGCAGGACGTTCAGGGCAGGTTGAGCCTGGCACAGCCTTCCTGGGACACCAAAGGAAAATAGGCCTTGAAAGCAATGCGTGAGCCGCACCTGCTAGAAAGAAGCCAGGAAAGTGGAGCAGACACCTGGTGAGTCTGTTTCCAAACCATCTCTCTTTTTTGCCAGAGCTGCCAGGCTGCACTTTCCGCCCTTCCTTGCCATTGAGTTTATGTGAGTTCTGAGCAGTGGGAATACAGGTGGAACCGATAGACCCCAGAGGAGACTGTGGGGGACTCCAAGGCCCCAGGGGATGGAAAAGGCACCAGAAGGAAAGATCCTGACTAGAGAAGAGACTCCACAGCCCCAGCCACCGGCAACCCCACACTGGATATGAGGATTAGCCACTGAGATTGCGGGATTGTTAAAAAAATAGTTCACCTTCTGGGCCAGTGTTGTAGCATAAAGCCACCACCTGCAACACCAGAATCCCATATGGGAGCCAGTTCAAGTCCCTGCTGTTCCACTGCCAATCCAGCTCCCTGCTAATAGCCTGGAAACAGCAGTGGAAGTTGGCCCAAGTGTGGGAGGTCTGGGTGATGCTCCTGGCCCTGCCATTGTGGTCATCTGGGGAGTGAACCAATGGATGAGAGATATCTCTCTTTCTGGCTATCTCTCCCTCTCTAACTCCGATTTGCAAATAAATCTTTAAAAAAAATAGTTCACCTCCCCTAAGTAGCACAGAACGTGTGAGGGAAGGGGTGTTCCCAGAAAGTTGGCTTCATTGGTGCCAAGTGCATTCAGACCCACCCTCCTCCAAGCAGGGACATGACCAGCTGCAACGTTCAGTGCCTTCATCTCATTTGCAAGTGAAGCCTTGTTCTGGTCTGCAAATTCCATTCCCAGCTGTCTCAAAGACCAAAGGGGTCCATTCCACTTCCCAGAGAAAGGGAGGTTAAAAGCAGAGTCCATGGACACAGAAGCCAGGGGACTCCTGTGACCCTCAGGAATTCCTGCCTAGAAATCTCTGGTCATTCAAAGTCAGATATGAACAGAGGCTAAATCCAACTAAAGGTAAATTCTGGCCAGTGTCTGCAGTCATGATGAATAATTTGCAAAGGCAATCAGATTCTGATTATCCTTCTATCACAAGGAAACCTCACTGGCTACCTCCCACAAGCCTCTGTATCTCCCTTCTGGATGTCACTCCCAGAGAGTACTAATTTAGCCTGGGCCCCTGCTATGAAATGCAACCCAGCTGATATTCAAACATGCATAAACATCGTCATTTGCTAATAGTAGCTAATGGCTTTAATCACAGAATAAAACAAATCAATGATTAACCTTAGCAGTAGAAGTGCAACTTGGATTCAAAAATAATGAATTCACTAATGGTTCTTGCTGCCGTTAGTGCGTATATGTCAAGGTAAATGTGCAGAAATGTGCCCATTTGAAAATAGCTCATCTATTCACAAATGATCAGCTTATGATTCAAATTGGAACATGTCTTGAAGGAGGGTAATAAGTAACACATCTACCAAGTTAGCTTTAATTTATGAAGAAAACTAGGAAAGCTCATGTGTAGCCACCCCAACTCCCACCATGTGCCAGGTAGGTTTATGCCTGAAGCAAGAGGCAGGAAGCAGGAGAGGAACCCCTCTGGCTTGGTGAGCCCCGCTTCCAGCGGAGTAGGTAATTACATCAACCTGATGACGGCTCCAGCACAGGGATGCTTTAGTGCCGGGATTGCACTCTGGCAAAGGCCTGGGACCAGCCTGGGACCAGCCTGGGGAAGCCCAGGCAAGGTCATGCTCCTGATACAGGAGGTGACATTTGAGTTAGGCCTTAAAGGATGGGCAGAAGTTGCCAGACAGACAGAACGTGAAAGGCAAATACAAAAATGAAAGTAGAGAAACATGACATGCCCCTGTATGTTTATGTGGCTTCAAAGTCGGGGCTCTTAGCAGGGCAGGCGTGCCAGGCTGGGGAGCTGGAGTGAGCCCAGTCACAGAAGGCTTGGGGTGTACTGCCGAGATTCTTAGGATTTTCTAATTGACAATGAGAGCTGCTGGAGCACTGCCCCATAAGTAACTGGAAATAAGAAACACCAGCACAGAGAACATTATATGCTGCTAAAGCCAGTAGAAATAGACTTCATTCGAGGAAATGTATGTTTATATTGTTTGTCTCATATCATAAGCAACTACCCTAAGGGTCAAATGACTGAATAACTTTAGGGATTTGGGAAGGGCTGAGCTGGACAACCTCTAGGATGAATGCAGAGATTCCATAGGCTGGCCTGTACTTGGGTCATATTCAGTGTTATTTATAAGTATGATTTTTTTTGGTGATGTTCTGTTTTTAATGTAAAATCTAAAGAAGTGAAAGGTATTTTTAGAAACTGTAGAACATTCTCCTTTTTATGAAGAGTAATATGGTGATTATCTGTGGTTGTCTACCCAGAAGCCAATACCCTTCTTCCCTGCCAGAAGAGCCTTGACTTGTTCCAGGACCAAAGCTCCTTCCCCTGACTTGGAAAAATTCTGATTGGCAAAAGCTAACTTGGGCCGGTGCCATGGCTCAATAGGCTAATCCTCCGCCTGTGGTGCCGGCACCCCAGGTTCTAGTGCCGTCAGGGCACTGGATTCTGTCCCAGTTGCTCCTCTTCCAGTCCAGCTCTCTGCTGTGGCCTGGGAGTGCAGTGGAGGATGGCCCAAGTGCTTGGGCCGTGCACCCGCATGGGAGACCAGGATGAAGCACCTGGCTCCTGGCTTCGGATCAGTGCGGTGCACCAGCCACAGCACGCTGGCTGCAGCGGCCACTGGGGGGTGAACCAACGGAAAAGGAAGACCTTTCTCTCTGTCTCTCTCTCAGTGTCCACTCTGCCTGTCAAAAAAAAAAAAAAAAAGCCAACTTGGACATTGCATTCATTACTGGTAGTTCGTTTAGATGCAGTCCTGTGGCCAAATCCTGACCAATGATATGTAAGATGAGATCTGCTGGGGCTTCTGGATAGTTTTCCTTGCTGATAAGAAGAGGCACACTCGGCCAGCGCCGCGGCTCACTAGGCTAATCCTCTGCCTGCGGCACTGGCACACCGGGTTCTAGTCCTGGTCCGGGGCAACTTATTCTGTCCCAGTTGCTCCTCTTCCAGTCCAGCTCTCTGCTGTGGCCCGGGAGTGCAGTGGAGGATGGCCCAGGTTCTTGAGCCCTGCACCCTCATGGGAGAGCAGGAGGAAGCATCTGGTTCCTCGCTTCGGGTTGGTGCAGCGCGCCGGCCATAATGCGCTGGCCGTAGCAGCCACTTGGGGGGCGAACCAACGGAAAAAGGAAGACCTTTCTCTCTGTCTCTCTCTCACTGTCTAATTCTGCCTTTCCAAAAAAAATAAATAAATAAATAAAGAGGCACACTCTTGTTCTAGTTTAACAAGTATTAAGAGACTATCAGGTGGGAACAGTCTGAAGACAATGCCAGGTCCTTAACACATCAAACAAAAGATGACAGGAACCCAAATCTCCATTCATGGGTTAAGATACAAAAGTAACTGACTTGGAGAGACCCTACCTTCAGGTTTCTTATCTGAGATAACAAATCCCTTCTTGTGGAAAGCAGTTGAGTTCGCAGCATCCTCACACTCACAGGTGGCCTAGGGCAGGCCTGAGTCAGTTGGTACAAACCAGTGAGTGCTCCTATCTTGGTTGCTTATCCCAGCATTCATCCTGCTACGTCAGAGTCTGTCCTGTCAAATATTCCACTAATCCTTGCCTAGGAGACGTGCAGGAGTCTCTAGGCACGTGCCATGGGCCTCTGCGTGGAATGATTTCAGTTGAGCCACAAGTTCTGATCTTTACAGTTTCAAAGGTAAGAAGCAACCATTCATGGGTCCACTTATTAGTATTTATCAAGCACTTATGTTGTGGTATTCATTGTTCCAGATGCTGAGGAAGACATCTAACATATGTTTTTTTTTTTACTGCTGTACCTTATGGTGTATTAGAATATATATGACAATGGCAATACAAAATGGAAAATGTTGCCTAAAAGCAACCCCACTGAAGATTCAACGTCTGGCTGGGGTATTTAGGAAATATTTGATGAAGGACATTCAGGAAAGACTTCATTTAATCTGGATGTAGATGGAAGCATAAAAATGATTAACAGCGTTCATAATGACTAATGTTCTGAGTGCTGGGTCCAGGCAAGGCAGCTTTCTAAGTCCTCTACATGAATTAACTCTTCTCATCTTCACTACAGCCCTAGAAGCTAGGTATATTACAGATGGAGAAACTGAAACAAGAGAGATTAGATAATTACCTAAGGTCACATCCTTCTCAGGTTATAGAGCCAGCGTATGCACACTCAGGCAGCCTGACACGAAGGCCTGTGTTCCTCACTACTGCACAGGAGCAGGACTGTCTGGTGCAAAGAGGGTCATAAATAAAAGGCAGCAAAGGAAGAGGCTGTGAAATTGAGAGTTCAAAGGGAAATGTTGGGAGGCAGGGGATAAAAACTGGCTGGGACCAGATCTCGGAGTACCTGGAACGAGAATATAAGATCTCACTGTATTTGGAAAATGTAAAATGCCACTGCTGATTTTCAGATCTTGGAAAATGGGAATGACATTACTCACCTGTGTTAGCGACCAGTCTACCTGTAGGTTTGAGAACAGACTTGCCACAGGTACTTGTTGAGGCAGGAAGGCCTGACCTGGAGCTGTAACAGGAGCAGGGATAAAGAGGAGAGGCACGTTAGGGAATCATTAGGAAGCGATTCCATAATACTTGGTGATTCGTTGAGTATACAGAATAAAAAGCAGAGACAGACTCAGAGGGAACTCAAGTTTGAGGTTGGCGAGACAATTCAAGATAATACCAACAAGATGAGCCATTTGTTGGATCAGGAAGAGTCGATTCTGCAGGGCAGAGAAAGGAAGTTCGGCTCAACGACATCGGAAATGTTTGGAGCCGTAGCTTGGCTAGAAGACAATTAACAAGATGCCACATGTAAAAGCCACATGCCCAAACACACAGAACTGATCTGTGGGGTCACTGGAAAGCTAACCAGATAAAATAAAAAAACAAGAGCCTTATGCTACTGGGATAGCCAGATATATCCTAGCACCACCAATGACAGATTCACCATACCATTGCAAATGGTAGGTACATGGTGTCACAGTGACAAACAGTTACACTATGAACTAACAGATATACCAGACTACCGTAACAGACATTCTATGTCTGTTGAATTATTGAAAAATAATACAATGGTACCTTGTCATAATGACATATAGGTATCATCTATCAGAGTGACTCACAAATATACCAATTATTATGGCAGGTACACCATGTCATAGTGACACAATATCTTTGCATTGCCTTCTTTATTCTTTTTTTTAAGATTTATTTATTTATTTGAAAGCAGAGAGAGAGAGAGAGAGAGAGATCTTCCAACCACTGGTTTACTCCTCTAATTGCCGCATCAGCCAGGCTGGGCCAGGCCCAAGCCAGGAGCCAGGAGCTTCTTCCAGGTCTCCCATATGGAAGCAGGAGCCCAGGGACTCAAGCACTTGTGCCATCTTCCTCCACTTTCCCAGGAATATTAGCAGAGAAGTGGGTCAGAAAGCAGAACAGCCAGAACTTGAACTGGCACCCCAATGGGATGTCACACTGTGAGGTAGAGGCTTAACCTGCTATGCCACAGTGACAGCCTCCTTTTGCATTGTCTTTATAGACAATCAACCATGGTATGACCATGGCATCTATTATGTCATCATGACATACAGATACAGTCAACATGAAAGACAGAGAGAGAGAGAGAGAAAACTAGCCCATTGTAAGTCAGAAAAACATCTAAACAAGTAAAAGACACTCAGCAGCAGCATGACAAATTTATTGTGCCATGGTTTACAAGTGAGCTTGATAGCTTCCACTCCTGATGCAAGTGACATTATTTATGTACATAGTTATGAAGCTACTTGGTGGTTTAAAGCAACAGCAAAAATTTGCATTTTGTTCACATAGTCCTTCCAATAGGTGCTGAGAACTCTACTCAGATTAGTAGTCCCTGTGATGACTGGTGTGGCCATGATCTGGCCCCATTTCTGCATGGAGGTAACAGTCAAAGGGAAATGGTAAGCTCCTAGCTCCTCTGGATGGCAACCAAGTTTCTGTCACCACTTTATTCACCCTTTTTAAAAATGATGGTGGCATTACCTATGTATCAAACACCATTTCGAGTGCATTCACATTCTACTTCATCCTTGTATCAATGCTATGAGGTAAGAATATTATTCCTACTTTATTGGTAAAGAAAGTGAGGCATGAAGACTCCACACCCCCATGGTCAATGAAGCTGGAATTCAAACCCAAGCATCCTGGCCCCCAGATCCATGTTCTTTAATTAGCCTAGGATCCCAGCTCCTAACCTCTACACAAACACTGCCTCTGTATTTGATAGACCACTTTCAGCCGCAAACAACTGAATCCATTTCAGACCAGCTTGAACATTAACAGGAATGTATCAGCCTCTGTGACAGAATTAGATGTAGCCTCAGACAAAGCTGGATGTAAAGGTTTGAGGGATGTGAGCTGCACTTGTGTTTTCACTCCTGATATTTCAAATAAACTTTTTTGGCACTGATGCTCCTCTACAGATCTCCCTGACTGTTGCCAGATGGCAGCCCAAGCCCCAGACATACTTTTGGGTCCTAATCCAGAGAAAGAGACAGGCCACATATCTGCCTTTTTAAAAAAGATTTACTTATTTATTTGAAAATCAGAGTTAGAGACAGAGAGAGATCTTCTATCTACCAATTCACTCCCCAGATGGTCACAACAGCCAAGGTTGGGCCAGGTGGGAATCAGGAGCCAGGAGCTTCTCCCAAGTCTCCTACATTGGTGCAGGGTCCCAAACACTTGGGCAATCTTCCACTGATTTCCCCAGGCCATTAGCTGGGAGCTGAATCAGAAGTGGAGTAGCCAGGACATGAACCATTGCTCAAAAGGAACGCTGGCATTCCAGGCAGCGGATTTACCTGCAACACCACAGCACTAGTCTCATGTCTCTGCTTTAAATGGAAGTCTTTTGGGTGGCTTGCACTATGGTACGCTGGGTTTAACCATAACTTGTATGCTGGCATCCCATATTAGACTGCCGGTTCGAGTCACAGATGTTCTGTTTCTGATCCAGCTCCCTGCTAATGCACTTGGGAAGGCAGCAAATGATGTCCCAAGTATTTGGGCTCCTGCCACCCATGGGGCAAACCAGGATGGAATTTCTAGTTCCTAGCTTATGCTTGATCCAGATCTGATTACTGCAGCCATTTGGGAAGTGAACCAGCAGATGGAAGGTCTCTCCTCTCCCCTCCCCTCCCTTCCACTCCACTCCTCTCCCCTCCCTCTTCCCCCCTTCCAAATAAAGATTCCAGATGGTCCTTAATGACCTAAATTAAGTCATGGGACTCTCACCAAATGGATCTCTATGACCTTTGTGGAGATGGTCTGTGTCCATGGGATTCACTGCTCCAGTTAATCGAGGCCTAACCAACATGTGGGGAGAGAGGAAATCATTTCTAAACCAAAGGCAGGGCAGATTTCCTTATGGTAGAGAAAGGGGGGAAATAAATCCTGAGGTACAAACAAATGTCCATTAAGCCACCTTACTCTCACAATCTGTATAGTACCCAGAGCATAGTAAATGCACAGCAAATCTTTGCTATGTGGATAATGGATGGATGGATGGATGGATGGGCAGATGAATAGTGGATGAATGGTGGTTGGAGGGATGGATGGAAATTCATGATTAGGAGATACGAGTTGTGCTGGGACATATTCCAACCTTCAGCTACCACAAAGTCACAAAAATCGTGGAATCAGACGACGGGTGGGCTGACGTAGACACCTGGCCTGAACAGGACACACTTCCCAGTAGGACTCACAGCTTCGCCTGCAGAGTCTGCTCAGTGCCTATACTTAGGCTGTTAGTTTGGGTGACCATACTTGACTCTTGAATATAAGAGAGGAAGATTTATTTGCATCTCTCAGAGTTCACAGTGAGTCCAATTCTTCCCTTGAGAGGGAGAGTTACAGATTTTAATGCAAGGCTCACCTGACCCTTGGGTACAATCTGTGGAGACTACTGTGTTCCCAGCTTTGCTTGAAAGCCTCCTGCACTAGGGCTAAGGAGGTGTGAAATGATAAATTCTGGATTTGGTTTAAGTGCCTGAAGCACATGGAAGGTGACTGAGGAAGGAAAACATTTTGTCCATAAAAGGAAAACATCAATTTCCAGCATGAAAGGTAAAGGGTCAGGACTCACTCCATCCTCCTTCCCCTTAAATAAGTCAGTCCACTTATGCAAATAATTCAAGGCCCCTGCAGGCATGGGCACTTAGTGGCCCTGGTTCCTTAATGTCTCACTCCCACATGACAGCTCCATGAGGCAGTCCACCTGGTTCCCAGGGTTTTCCTTGGAGCTGACAGACAACACAGGTGGACTCAGTTTTCAAACTTGGCCTCAATATCCTCTGTAAGGCATGACTTGCAGTACTGATCCCTCACTCTAGGTCCCAGGTTGGCTCCAGTGCAAATTAGTTCTGATCATGTCAAACTCTAACCTTTGTCTCATATCAGAAGAGGCCAATGAGATAAAAAGGAAGATGTTGGGGGCTGGCGCTGTGGTGTAGCAGGTAAAGCCACCTCCTGAAGTGCCAGCATCCCATATGGGCACCGGTTCAAGTTCTGGCTGTTCCACTTCTGATCTAGCTCTATGCGGTGGACTGGAAAAGCAGTGGAAGATGTCCCAAGTCCTTGGGCCCCTGCACCCACGTGGGAGACCCAGAAGAAGCTCCTGGCTCCTGGCTTCGGATCGGCGCAGCTCCGGCCATTGCAGCCAACTAGGGAGTAAAGCAGTGGATGGAAGACCTCTCTTTCTCTCTCTGCCTCTCCTTCTCTCTCTGTGTAACTCTGATTTTCAAATAAATAAATAAAGCTTTAAAAAAAATTTTAAAAGGAAGATTCTTTGAATCACGGAAAGCTCTTACAGACAGTATTGTCAAAATCCTAATTGAGTAAGAAACATAAAACACAAATGAGCAAGTCACTTGCCCAGGGCCATATTGGGATAAACACAAGAACCAAAACAGAGGTGTCCCAACCTCCAGACCAGGGCTTTGCCACAACACTGCTGTACCTTCCATGCTTGGTCTTCTTTTTTTTTTTTTATTTGGACAGGCAGAGTGGACAGTGAGAGAGAGACAGAGAGAAAGGTCTTCCTTTTTTCCATTGGTTCACCCCACAGTAGCCGCCGTGGCCAGAGCGCTGCGGCCGGTGCACCCAGCTGATCCAAAGCGAGGAGCCAGGTGCTTCTCCTGGTCTCCCATGCGGGTGCAGGGCCCAAGGACCTGGGCCATCCTCCACTGCACTCCCGGTCCACAGCAGAGAGCTGGACTGGAAGAAGGGCAACAGGGGCAGAATCTGGCGCCCCAACCGGGACTAGAACCCAGTGTGCCGGCACCGCAGGCGGAGGATTAGCCTATTGAGCCGCGGTGCCAGCCCCGTGCTTGGTCTTCTAAAATCCCTGCACCTTCGTCCTACTGTGTACCTCTTGAGGATCCCACCATATGTTCACGTGTGGCTGTGTGTGTGCACACGCAGGCAAGAGGAAGGCATGACATGAAAGAGGACGTGGAGATTTCCAGAGGACATTTTCAGGGA